CTTCTCTCTCCCTGTATGAGGTGGAGTGTGTTTTGTGTTTCATTTTCTTCTGCTGGGGGAGCTTCTCTTTCTCTCTCCCACTGACTTTCACATTTACAGAAATTGTTGACATCGGTATTATTTAATTGATTTCTAATGCAACTGCTGATGTTCAATATTACTATGTTTATCCTGTTGTTCATCCATGTTGAGAATATAACCATTTAAAAATGAAGAGGTAAACATATAATTAACGAGTTTTCAGTGATGACATCAATAAGACCAAACCATCACCTTCTGATGTTCTCCTCCATCAGATTCCTGTCGGCTCACTCTGGACCCCAACACAGCAAACAAACACCTCCATCTGTCTGAGGGGAACAGAGTGGTGACATGGAAGAGAGAGATACAGTTATATCCTGATCACCGGGAGAGGTTTAACTGGCATGACCAAGTGCTGTGTACAGAGGGTCTGACTGGGCGCTTCTACTGGGAGGTTGAGTGGAGCGGGCTGGTGGTAGCTATAGCCGTCACGTATAAAGGGATCAACAGGAAAGGAGAGGGTGATGACAGCAGGCTTGGATACAATGACAAGTCCTGGTGTTTGTCCTGCTCAACTTCCAGTTACTCATTCCAGCACAATAAAGTAGAAACTGTAGTATCTGCCCTCCCCTCCTCCAGGATAGGAGTGTACCTGGATCACAGGGCAGGAACTCTGTCCTTCTACAGCGTCTCTGACACAATGACCCTCCTGCACAGGGTCCAGACCACGTTCACTGAGCCCCTCTATCCTGGGTTTTATCTCTTTGACAGTACAGTCAAACTGTGCTGATTAGGTTAACAGGCTATTAAAAGTATCTCAAAAACAATTAACTATGTAATTAATATTAGAAAACATTCCTATTGTAACTGTTTGCTGATGGCTCTGTCACATACAGAGTGGACCTTCATTTTACCCCAGTGAGCCCTAAAACTGCACCATCTGGATTATAAAGACAGAAGCAGGCAGTGATTCCAGGAGATCAGTGCACAGATCAAGCCAAGGTGTGTCTTCCAGCACTAGAGACACCCTGGATGGGATGTCAGTCCATCACAGAGCAGCCACTCACACATCATCACACACTGTGGACAATTTACAGACATCAGTTCATCTGGAGGACACCCATGCAGACACGGGCACAGCATGCAGACTCCACACACACAGAGCCTGGGGTTTTGTGTTTGGCTATATACAGACCAGGAAATACCTGTATCTAAACATTTAAATTATAATTACACCTGACTTAACGTTTAACTGAACCCAAGTCTAGGTTTGAATCTTTCAGTCAGCAATCTCAGCAGTCGGGAAAAATGTGTGTGTGTGTGGGAGGGGAGCTTGTCATACTCACTCCAGATCAGCAGGGGGCAGAGCCACGTAAGTGTTTTTCTCTGCATTTTCTCATTACTGTAGAGGACTCAGAAGCATTTCATAAATGTAATTGGTAAATTATTACTCATTGGTAATAATTGGTAAATTATTCGTACAAAAACTGTTATAATTTACATTTTACATGTAAATGTAAATTATATCATAGTTTTTGTATGAATAATAACAGATGGCATAGAATAGGCCATAGTAAGGAAATGTGAATATGTATGTTATGCGGTGTGAACCAGGTGTTATGTATTTGTATTACCCTGGGAACGGGATATTATCTGTCAGGGTCAGCACCCGTTTGTCCCAGTCTTTCGTGTCTTCTCCCCGTTTGGCCAGCAGGTGTCGCTGGCCATCCTGTCCTCCCTGTTGTCCAAGCCCTTTGTGTGTTTCCCCAGCTCCCCTGACTGCTGCATGGCTCAATGAGCTGAATGTGCGGCTACCTGTAAACCCCTCAGTCATGTGTGTCACAATATTAGACGTTACCCTGTGTTGTTTAATTTTTGTACTTTGTTCCCTGCCAGTTTTTGCTCCTTGTGTTGCCTCTATCTGCCTGCACCATGCCTCGCTCTGGTAACAATCATCCTTATGTTAAAAGGCATTGAATATGCATTGTATGTAAACCTGACTCATAAGAAAGCTGACATGGACTTGCTGAAAAGAGTGTTTAATAAACGTAACTGCAGAAAACTCGGAAGCATCGACACGCTGTTGCCCTGCCTCATCATTTCTCTCCTTTATTTCAGGAACGTATCTGTTATCTTGGTGCCCCAGCGCGGTACCTGTAACACAGTCATTTAGTATAATATGATGTAGTTTGATCTCATTGATTGTTTTGCAACCGATTAGTGTTTAGAATGCATTGCTGGTAAAATAATGCAATCAACTGCATAGTCCGAACAAGCTTATATGCGACAGTGTAGGATGTATTATTTCAAAGTACTAGCTGGTCAATGTCACTAAAAAGCCACACATCTACCCCATTAACGATATATAATGGTCCAATTTGGTTGAGTGTCTTGTTCAGGTAGTTCCATTGGGGATGTAGTGTGTAGTATCTATATGAAAATTGGAATTCAAAAGAGCATTTCACGATTCGCCCAGAAGTATACGATGTATTCAATGTCAGTTGAAGCATATGGTAAGCTGTTTAAGCTTTAATTAATTTCCAGAGGATAACACAAATTTATTTCCAACTAGTTACAGTAGAATGCAAATTCTTGATATCAGAAATTCAATTTTAACTAGTTATAATGTGTATTTCTGATATCAGAAATTTGACTTTAGATAAAATGCATGTTACTGGTATCGGAAATTCAGTTTTAATTTAATTCAAATTCAAAATAACTTTATTTGTCCCCAAGGGGCAATTAAAGGCACATAGGGCAGTTGAACAAGGACAGAATGACATAAAGTGCAACAGTATTTGAAAGATGCTATGCAAAAATGCAGTCAATCAGGTAGATAAGAACTGATAAATATATAAAGGGAGGGACTGTAAGTGGGCATGGGGGGGCTCAAGTGCAGAATGAATGACGGGTTCCAGTGCAGGGAGGTGTGGGAAAGGGAAGTCTGTGAATTGAGGAGTTGAATGGCCCTGGGAACAAAGGTGGCTCTCCTCCTCTGTGTCCTATAGCAGGGGCAGCGGAGCCGTCGTCCTGAGGAGAGCCATTCAAACTCCGGGAACAGAGCATGGGAGGGTCCTGTAGCAGGGGCAGCGGAGCCGTCGTCCTCAGGGGAGCCACTCAAACTCACTGTGTTGTGCAGGCGGGTCCTGTGCTGCAGGCTGGTGGAGTGATACCTGCTGGCAATGGAAAAACAGAGGACAGTCTCAATGAAGGAGCAGTAGAAGGTTCTGAGTATGACCTTGTTGACCCCAAAGCTGTTGAGCTTCCTTAGGAGATATTGCCATTCCTGACATCTCCTTAGAATGTCCTCGGTGTTGGAGGCAAGCTTTAGGGTGCAGTCGGAAGTCACCCAGATCTTTGTACTCCTCCACCACCTCCACTGTTTGCCCGTGGATCATGCTGACAGATCCTGTCGCCAGCTCCCTCTGTTTACTGGAGAAGGTCACCACCATGTCCTTGGTCTTCTCCACATTTAGCTCCAGGGAGGCATTTTCACACCACTGCACAAACTCACTGAGCACTGAGCTGTGGTGATGTGAGGAGCCGGAGAGCAGAGACAGGAGGACTGTGTCATCCGCGTACTTCACTGGATGACAGTCTGGGTGGGAGGACCTGCGGTCATCGGTGTACAGGATGAACAGAAGAGGTGACAGGACGCAGCCTTGGGGGGAGCCAGTGGAGGTGATGGAGAGGTCAGAGAAGGTGTTGTAGACCAGCATTCTTTGTGTCATGTTGGTCAGAAAGTTGATGATCCACAGAGTGAGCTGGTCATCCAGGTGGAAGCGGCCGGAGAGTTTCTCTGCCAGGATGTGTGGTTACAAAGTGTTGAATGCAGATGAGAAATCTGCAAACGGGAGTCTAGCTGAGGTGTTGGGGATGCCTGTCTTAACTGTAACTTGTGTAAATAGTTAATGCCAGTTCTTAACATCAGAAATTTTATTTCAAAACATTTCTCTCATGTATTTCAATGTTTGAACTAAAATGCCAAAAATAACTAAAATTTCTGATATCAGGAATTCACTCTTACCTAGTCAAAATACCAATTGTTGACATCAGAAATAAAATTTTAACTAGTTGAAAATCCAATTTCTGATACAAGGAATTCAATTGTAATTAGTTTTAATTATAGCTAGTAGCAACTGAATTCCTAATATCAGAAACTGGATTTTCAACTAGTTACAATTTAATTGTAAAGCTTATTACAGAAGTAATCACTCCCTAAAACATCTAAAAAAAACTCAAATTATTCCCTATAAAAAGTATAAACCCCCACTAAAATCACTCTACCGACCTGGGAGAAAAGACATAGTGAGGAAGTAATTGTTTATTGAGACACCATTGAACAATCCACAACAGCACTTATGCATGGTGTGACCTTAATATACACACAATAATAACAAGCAATTAACTAATATCTAATAAAACACTTCATAATAAACATACAACTCTGATAAATACATGGAATTCGATATCATAGACACACACCTGAGATTAGTTAATGGCAGCCGAGTTACCATGCAATAGTGTTCCATTAACAATCACAATATTTCCTCAATAAACTCAATTCTCAATTACAAATTTTGTAGATGAGGATGAGAGCTCATGCTGGGGAGGCTTCCCAACTTTTTTAGGAAGTAGGACTTCCATCAGCAGTGATGCCCATGGAATCTGAGTGCAATGCCATCTCATGTAAGATTATAATACACTTTGATATGCAAATACTTAGTAGTAACTCAGTTACTACTGAAGTACAAATCATGAACAAATCATTAACAAACATAGTTGCTCCTTAAGATGAAAGCTGTCATTCATTAATAATCAACAAACATATCAGTATTTTCACTTTTGCTATTAAATATTGTTCCTTCAGTAATTCCTTAGTAGTACCTTCAGTAGTTGCTTCAGTAGGTCAGCAAGGTTGACAGATAGTCAAGTAACAGATATAGTAACAAATATAGTAACTGCTTGGGATAAAATATCTGTCACTATTTGATGGTGAACAAGCATGCTATCAGTATTTTACTTGTGTAATTCATTATTCATTCCTGCAGAAAAAAACATGACAGTCTATAACTAACACTTAGTTTGTGGTCAATTAATACATATTTAATATCATAATAATACATTATTTGTCTCCCATTAAGTGTCACCAATAATAATTTACTGTATGCTGTATGACTGATCCTGTTACTATCTCCTGAGAAACTTCCATAATTTGCATGGCTCTCAAACTTTATTATGAATAATTGCCAAACACAGATCCACAAATTTTGTATGTTTGTCTGACATTATCCAAGTTGCCAGTGTAACGTCCAGCCCTGTCCTGCTTGTCTGCTCCCTGTGTTTCCTTTGGCTGTAGCTTCTTCCTGCAGCTTGTTAGTCTTACCTCTTTTTCCTGGCCTCTCGTTAACCAGCCACAGCTGCCTTGCATTTACTCTTTTGTTTGTCATGTATATTAGCGTCTCTCAGTCCTGTGCTCCCTGTTCAGTCATTGTTCCCTGTCTGCGTGTGCTAGCCGGTGGGTTTCCCACAATGAACTCCCCCGCGAGGGGTTATACTTACTGACAGTCTGCATTTGGGTCGTCCTTCTCCCGCTGCAATGTGACACCCAGATCTTCCACGAAATATCAAACCAGACACACAAATATCCACACACTACATGCAATATCAACCTGTGTTTCACTGTTTCTGTGATAAATTAATGTTGATGTTTTGTCATAACGTAAGTGGAAATATAAATATAAATGGTTATGTGTGTATTTATATAAATGGACAGATTCATTCTTAATGTAACTATTCTACCTTTCTGTCTTCTACCTATTTTATATGTACAAAAACAAACTGAAAGATTGCAGCTGGCTTGCTGAAGAAAAGCAATGTCAGTAGCACTTATAATCAAAAAAGCTAAATATATATTGAGTTTGTTAGGTATATAATTGATATAACGCACTATTTTTTTCATAAACTCCAACTGCAGTGTTTGCCCAGTCTGATCTTCTCAGTCTGGCCTCAGTCCAAAACCACACCTACTGCAGCCTGAGAAGCAGGAAGTTTCTCCCACTCTCACACACAGAAAACTGAGAGAAAACGAAACTGGATCCTATCAGTGTTTGTTGTAAAATGGCAGAAGCCAGTGTCACAGTGGATCAGAACCAATTCACCTGTGTAATCTGTCTGGATCTACTGAATGATCCAGTGACAACAGCCTGTGGACACAGTTACTGTATGAGCTGCATTAAGAGCTGCTGGGATCAGGAGGATCATGCTCGAGTTTACAGCTGCCCCCAGTGCAGAAAGACCTTCATACCCAGGCCTGTTCTGGGCAGAAACACCATACTGGCTGAGGTGGTGGAGAAACTGAAGAAGACTGGACAACAAGTGACTGCTACTGCTGACCATTATACTGGACCTGGAAATGTGGAATGTGATTTCTGTCCTGGGAGAAAACGCAAAGCTGCCAAATCCTGCCTGGTGTGTCTGGCCTCTTACTGTGAAACTCACCTCCAGCCTCACTAT